AAATACTCCTTATGCCATCCCAGATGTATAAACTTTCTTATTCAAATGAACACAACTGAAAATAATACATTTGTGAGTTTCTATGTTGTGAGGGATTATAGGTTCTGAAATGATGATGCTCCAAAAAACACAAACAGTAGGTAAGTCTGAAAAATACAAATATTTTAAACCTAATAGCTTATAGGCCATGGCTTTTCCCATTGCATTTTAGGTAATTGGGTAATATATTCATTGTTTTGCATTTTGTATACTTTGATAACTTGATGTTATCTTTATTTGATAATATTCTTGGTGGTTTAGTCGGTAAGGTGGCACTTTCTACTTCCTAACTGTAGTAAGGCAACCCTGCAATCTCTATGACATACAGTGTGTCTATGATCTGATTTAAAGCGAAACATTTTAATTTTCAAACAATGATTAATGCTCCAAAAAACACAAACAGTAGGTAAGTCTGAAAAATACAAATATTTTAAACCTAATAGCTATAAGCCATGGCTTTTCCCATTGCATTTTAGGTAATTGGGTAATATATTCATTGTTTTGCATTTTGTATACTTTGATAACTTGATGTTATCTTTATTTGATAATATTCTTGGTGGTTTAGTCGGTAAGGTGGCACTTTCTACTTCCTAACTGTAGTAAGGCAACCCTGCAATCTCTATGACATACAGTGTGTCTATGATCTGATTTAAAGCGAAACATTTTAATTTTCAAACAATGATTTTACAAGTCAACTTTTGACAATGTAAGAAGATGTTGTTTCCTTTATCAGCCACTAAATGGCACTAAAGACGCATTTTCATTAATTATTGCCATCGTGAATGCCCAGTGTTCCTATATGTTTCACTTTTTTTTAGTGTTGATTTTGTTCTAAACTTCTTTGGTGCAAAATGTGATTCTACCTTTGGGGAAAACAACAACAAGGGAAACTAGATTAGTAAAGTTCACAGACGAACTTTGAAGTTGGCTTGAGAAAGCCTTGTCTGAAAGTTTGAAATAGTTTTGAAAAGCTTAAAGTTCAATTTTAATTGTTGAAACTGAAGTTTGGGACAGAGTGGAAACACACATGTTTCTAGCATGAATTAGCATGTTACTAGCATGATTTACCGTGAATTAACATGTCCCTAGCAAGATTTAACATGAATTAGCATGTTGCTAGCATGATTTAACATGTTGCTACCATTTTTCTAGCATGATTAGCATGTTTTTAGCATGATTAGCAAGTTAATAGCATGTTGTTAACATGTTTATAGCATGCTACTAGCATGTTGCTAGCATGATTCTAGCATGATTATCATGTTACTAGCATGTTTCTAGCATGATCACCATATTAATAGCATGTTGCTAGTATGTTTCTAGCATGATTAGCAAAGCTACCAACATGTTGCCAGCATGATTAGCATGTTACTATCATGTTTCTAGCATGATTAGCAAGTTACTAGCATGTTGCTACCATGTTTCTAGCATGATTAGCATATTACTAGTATGTTTGCTAGCTTGTTTCTTGCATAATTAGCATGTTGTTAGTATGAATAACAAGTTGCTAGCACATTGCTAGCATGTTTCTAGCATGATTAGCATGTTTCTAGCATTTTGTTAGCATGATTAGCAAGTTACTAGCATGTTGTTTGCATGTTTCAATACTAATACAGTTAAAACCATCTAAAACCAGTTGATTCAGTAAAAAACGGCTACAAACCAACTTAAAACCAGCTAAACCCAGTTGATTCAGTAAAAACCCAGATAAAACCAGCTTAGGCTGGTTGCCTAGTCTTAACTGGTTTAAGTTGAAAATATCTGGGTTAAGCTTGGTTGGTCTTTTAGCAGGTCTCACAACTTGACCAGCTAAGACCAGCCTGACCAGCTAAAAAGTTGCCAAAACCACTTTAAAACCAGCCTGGGAGACCAGCCAAAGCAGCCAATCAGCTTAGGCTGGTTTTAGCTGTTTTTTCCGTAGGGAGTTTTTAAGCTTTGCTATGGCAGTAGACAGCTTAAATACACCACAAGTCTCATTGTATAAAAGTTTTCACACCCTCAATAAAAGTCTATGAGATTTTAGGTGGATTTGATAGTCTGGTTTACGAAAACCATAAGTCGGATCAGTTAGAAAAGACATAGCATATCGAGTCAGACCAGTCTGAAGGTCTGACCCGAGTTTGGTGTTTGTAGCTTGAAAGCTGTAGGAGGAGATAGTGTTTAAATTTTGGCTCAGAAGAATAATAATAAGTTTAAATAGTAGATCAGTGAGTTGGCTCTCTCAAACCAACTTAACTATTTAACAAAAGTTAAAGAGTTTAGTCAGATTACACAGACTGACTCACAACAAGACATTTGAATTATTTTGATCTAGGAAAAGTAAAAAAAAAAAAATAGTAAAAATAAATTCAATTAATTCCATTATTCAGAGTAGTTTAGTTGGGATATGTAACAAAAAGTGTTACAAAATTTGAGCCCACAACATACAGTTTGCTTTGTAACATTAATGAAGAAATCTAATAACACCATCTCTGTCATGATTGTTTGCATGTTGGTGTTTTGACATTTAAATATCTCTTGGAGCTGCTCATTTTCCTTATATGCAAATATTCTGAACTAAAAGTTTTACATTGGCATACTAACCTATTGTGGAAATCAAAACTAGAAAACAATCTATAAATACTTGATTTTTTCCCTGAAATTTTACTCTTCATCACTCAAAATTTGAAGGAATATTAGCAGTGGGTACAACACTGTTCTACTAACATGTTTGACAAAATAACCTAGGCATTTCAACAAATACCTTTATTTTGTGGAAAACGCAGAGATCAAAATTACAGAACAAACCACTGTAGCGTAAAAGAAGATTACAACTAAAATCTTGGTTCTGATAAACATTTGCGTTCACTCTGCAATGTAGCTGTATAGGAGGCCTAACTCCTGCTGCACAAAACATACCCAAAGCAAGACACTTCCTCCTCCACTTTTCACTGTCTTCTTTACTTGCTCGGGGTTCAGTCTTTCCCCAGTTCCCCATGCCAAACATAATGTTTCCCATCTGACCAAATTCAATTAAACTCGCTCTCATCACTAAAGTGAACTTTGGACCAGTTCCCCTCTGTCCACACAACATGCCCCTCAGCAAAGGTGAGCTTAGTCTTTTGATTCTTTCTGCTGATGAGAGGCTTGGTCACTGCAGAGTGTGCTTTCAGTCCAACTTCTCTTAAACGTGCCGAGACAGATCCATACCCTGTTCATCGCTGAACTGGTGAGCAATTCCAGCTGCAGTGTTGAACCGATTCCCCATTGAGAGTCTCTGCATTATCCTGTTCTCTTGTGCGTTTGTCTTATGTGGACGACCAAACTTTTTGGGGGACTTGAATGAATTAGTGTCATTGTAAACCTGCAATATTCGAGAAATAACAGATTTGGAATGACCGGCTTCTCTTGCGATGACTGAAAGGGTCATCCCATTGGCCTTCATCTGGACAACCTCCTTTCGCAGGGTTTTAGTCACCTTAGAGCAGCCCACCATCTTGCAATTTCAATGAAAATTAGAGGAACGCTGCCAGTTAAATACGGTTTGTCAGATAATTAAGAAGATAACATGAATAACTGGGAGGTATGTTCTGTAATTGTGATCAGAGATAGTTTTTTCCCAAACCTGCTTAAATGTGGTGGATATGTTTCTTGTGTACCCACAGTTTTAAAATCATGTAATGAAATTTAAAATATAATACAGAACACTGTATGTTGAGCTTGTGCCAAGAAAGTAATCAGACCCCTTGATTTTTTTATCACGTGTTTGCAGCCTCATGATAAAAGTCTTTACATTATTTTCGTCATCAATCAATATCATTCTACACTCCTTTCCCCTTAATGAGGTATGGAGTATAGACAAACAAAAATATTAATTTAAAACATTTTAGCATTCGGCTGCATCGTAAGAAAATATGTTAAACAAATGAAGGGGTCTGAATACTTTCTGAATGCATTTTATATTGTAGTTATATTGTACAAAGCAACTTTAATTGCAACGAGGGGGTATACATTTGATCAGTTTATGCATTCGCTGGAATCAAACCCATGATGTTACCATTGCTAGTGCCACACTGTACTGCTTGAACTACAGGAACACTAGTTAAAATGTACTGACAACATTTTTGTGTTGCTAATGGACTCAACAGTCCCACACATGAACTCAGAATTTTAGACTTGGCTTTATTGCTAAATGTAAATAAAAACAGTGCATTTACAGTTTTGTATAACAATTTATGAAACACTCAATGAAACATGCAATTTAAATAAATGTACAGCTTAGGGGAAAAAAGATAAGTTATCCATTACATGTCTTCTTATTTACTATGAATAGTACAAAGGAAATACTTAGCACTGTGCATCTGTATCGTAAATATAGTGAAACCTCTATAAAGTTCAAGATTGAAATGATATTTTTGACCCCACTATTCTTAATATTACATACACAAAACAGTTTACACATTGTATTCTGCAGAAGAAAGTAAATCACAGATTGAGAACAAAGCAGTATTCAAAATCGCCCCCAATACCCTCATTCACTATTCCCAACATTAGTGAACTCAGACAGTGACGTTGTATCCGAATCTGTAGTATTTTGACATTTTATTTTGGGTTAGGGTTAACTTGAATTTGCAAACCTTCCAGTGTTATTCACTTCCAGTTATTTTACCCCTACAAAAACAGTTCGTTATGCTGCTTGATATTGCAGTCTGGTATTTTGATATAGTATTTTAATTCATTACCATAATCATAAACACACTGGTTGTAGTGCAAATAGGTGTACCATTTACTGCACTTATTCTTCTAGTCATTTACCTATAGCGGCTAATGAATCGCATATTCAAAGAAAACAGCGAATTTCCACATTGCAAAATAAGGTGGATAAAGGGTATAGAGATGATTTCAGACACAAATAAATAATTAAAAAATCTTATTGAGAACAATGGTTTGTAGTCATAAATCTGTTCAACTCATCATGAGCCTGGTCATTTTGATTCCTTTTGTTTTTCAATAGTGAAGGTGTCCACAGTGGATAAAGACTTGGTATGAGCTGTATGTTTTTCTGGCCTTGCTGTCCGACACATCCACAGAAAGATAGAAAAGCCTGTCAACAATAAAGATGATTGACAAACTGTATTATTGTATTATTAGAAAGCATTTATATTGTAGAGCATTATGTCTTCAGGCATATTTTCCTTTTTTTTTAACCTCCACGGTTCTGTGACTTAGAGTAAACCTACCTTGCATTGTGTTTGAAATGCAGAATATGTAGAGTATTGTGTAGCTGGTATATCCAGAGCTAAGAAAAACCAAACCCCATGATGTACCCAGCAGACACATGAGGCCCAGCACTGTGCTGGCATCCTTCACTGGTATTTTCTTATGCTTGTTGTTCACTTTCTTTAGCTTAAAGATCTGTCTGGAGACTGTGATTAGAATTATTGTGTTGAACACGAATACGAGGGTGAAGTAGGAAAGGTTCACGCCATACAGGATGAGAGGCTCTGTGATCCAGCAACTGTACAACATATAATAAACAATGCTGAAAGCTAAAGAAGAGCTAAAAGCAAGGTAAAAATGAAAAGGTTAAGTTATAATATGAGGACTCACACTGGATTTGTGGCTTTCGAATTTGATAAGGTCACATTTCTGGCGCCATAGAATGGACGGGTGAGTTGCTGAACTGACAGCAAACTTCCAACAAGAACAGCAGGGACTCCTGTCAAGAGGAAAAGATTACAGGATGAGCAAATCTACACTTTAGTCATCATTTCTTAATGCTTCTATTATAACATCATGTCTGGGATTTATTTCTTTGTAATACTTAACATGTGAACTGTCATTGTTTTCAAATTGGGTGATTTTCTGAGTTTCAAAAGAAATAATATAGGAAAGTATTAATTTGTTTTTAAAAGGATTTATTAATTTGTTACAAGCACGCATCAGAGTAATAAGGCAAGTTCGGACTTTTAGTATGAAATCGAGATGTAGATGTAACGTTAGTTTAGTGTTAGTTAGTTTGCATGTGAAGAGTTCAAAAGATGACATTCATTCTAGTTTTGTGTCTAAAAGCGTAGCAATATAGGCAAAATGTCCGGTTGCTTTAATGTTCTTTATGTGCTTTTTGTAACAAATAAAAATACTGAAATAAAAATAAAATACTGCAATACTGCCCATACTGTTACTGAATATGATGTCTGCTTCATAAATACTGTGAATAGTATGGAAATACATGGTGTTCATTGCTCAAACCGTATATTTCGTCCTTTGATCACTATTGGAGTCTGGACTTTTTGGAGGTCATCTAGTGGAAAAGCTTGGTACTACACCTAAACAAAATCTTACTGAAAATTTATTAATTATCTGAGATATCACCCTCGAATTTGGAACGCACAGGTTTAAATAGGTCTTTGATTTTATAGCAGTTTTCTATGGAAGATTATTTCTGCATTTAAAAAAAATATACAAAATGTAAATGTGACTTTTTAATCTCACAATTCTGTCTTTTTTCTCAAAATTATGATTTTATATGTGAATGAATGAATGATGCATTTATATAGCGCTGTTATGTTCACACAATCTCTCCTCAGTGCCCTCAGGAGATCAGTCTGTCAACCCTGCCACCTCCGGTACTTCAGGGCACAGCAGTCTCCAGCGAGCGCATCTCTCAGTGTCCACCCGGAAACGTAGCAGTTCTGGGGGGTTCGCTACCTAGAAGGATGTCTTTATAGTGCTCTGCTTCAGGGCACCGAGCTGGCCGCTCTAAGTACACCAGAGGCCAGTCTCGAGAGACTGGTTCCCTTAATAGGTCACCTGGCAGTGTGGGAGCCCCTGCCAGACGTGTCTCATTGGGTCCTGCCCCGAGCAGGCTCTGGTTCTGTCAGTCTGAGTCTTCCAAGGAGATGACGGGTCTGAGGTCGGTTATTTTCAATTGGGGACTTCGGCCAAGAGAAAGTCCTGATGCCCATGGCTCAGGACTTCGGAGGGCAGGCCCCTCTGGGGAAGAGCGGTGTACACCTCATTATACGGTGCCCGTCTCTCCTCAGTGCCCTCAGGAGATCGGTCGGTCAACCCTGCCACCTCCGGTGCTTTAGGGCACAGCGATCTCTAGCAAGCGTGACTCTCAGTATCCGCCCAGAAACGTAGCGGTGCTGGGGGGCTCGCTACCTCCGAGGAGGTCTCTAGAGCAGCTAAAGCGTTCGTTCCCTCTCAATTCGCTGTTTCAGTGCACCGATCTAGCCACTCTGGTTACACCAGATGTCTCTGGTGTCTCGAGAGACTGATTCCCTTAGTAAACTATTTGGCAGCATTGGAAGATTCTGCCAAATGTGTCTCAATGGGTCCTGCACACTGTAGAAAGAGGCTACAGAATCCTATTCGGTTCTCCGCTGCCGCGTTTCAATGGGGTACTTCCCACTCTGGTAGCCCCGAGCAGGCTCTGGTTATTGTAACAGGAAGTAAACACTCTCTTGAGGAAGGAGGCCATCGAGGTGGTCCCTCCTCGCGTTAGGGAGCACGGGTTCTACAGCCGGTGCTTCATTGTTCCTAAGAAGGATGGGGGGTTGCGTCCCATTTTTAGATTTGTGTCATTTGAACCACTCAGTCATGTGACTGAAGTTCAGGATGCTCACTCTCAAACAGGTTGTGTCTCAGATCAGGTCCGAGGACTGGTTTGTCACGATTGAGCTAAAGGATGCATACCTCATCCTTACACTACAAAGGAGGTTCCCGAGGTTTGCTTTGGGGGTAAAGCTTACCAATATCGGGTTCTTCTGTTCGACCTTGCACTCTCACCCCGCACTTTCACCAGGTGTGTGGATGCTGCTCTGGCTCCGCTGCGACTCCAGGTCATCCGGATACTGAAGTGTATCAACGTTTAGTTGATATTAGCTCTATCGGCGAGGTGTTGTTCTCGCTCATATGAAATTGCTGGGGTTAAGACGAAACACAGAGGAAAGTATGCTTTCTCCATCACTGAGAACCACTTATCTGGGCGTGGTGTGGGATTCGACCATGATGCAGGCACGTCTGTCTCCTGCTCGGATCGAGTTGACCCTTGCTGTTGTCGCGAGAGTGAGAGAAGGCCAGTAACTCACTGTCAAGAAGTTTCAAAAACTGTTGGGTCTGATGGCAGCTGTGTCCAACGTGATACCTTTTGGCCTGCTGTACATGAGACCTTTACAGTGGTGGCTCAAGACCAAGGGGTTCACATCAACTGCCTGGAGATGCTGGCCGTGTTTCTAGCATTGAAACATTTTCTCCCAGACTTAAGAGATCGCCATGTATTGGTGCGCACCGACAACACAGGGGTGATCTCTTACATCAACCACCAGGGAAGTCTGCATTCACGCCCCCTTTACAGGTTGGTGGACCAGATCCTTGTGTTGTCCCAGGGGAAACTCCTCTCGCTGAGTGCAGTTCACATCCCTGGGCATCTCAATATAGGAGCAGACATCCTGTCGAGGCAGGGGCAGAGGCTCGGGGAATGGAGGCTTCACCCCGAGGTGGTGAAGCAGATTTGGAGACTGTTTGGTCAGGCTCAGGTGGACCTGTTTGCGACTCAGGAGACATCGCACTGTCCCCTCTGGTTCTCTCTGACGCATCCAGCTCCTCTCGGACTGGACGCTATGGTACAGACTTGGCCGAGGCTTCGTCTGTATGCCTTTCCCCCGATCGCTCTGCTCCCGAGAGTTCTGGAGAGAGTACGCCGGGATGGGGTCCATCTTCTGCTAGTTGCCCAGTTCTGGCCGGGCCGTGTATGGTTCTCGGACCTGATTTCCCTTCTCGACGGCTCTCTGTGGAAGATTTCCATCAGGAGGGATCTCCTTTCTCAGGCGGGGCCTTCCCCCCGCCCGGAGTTTTGGAACTGTGGATGTGGCCCCTGAGGGGGCACAGCTCATAAGTTCCGGTCTCTCAACTGAGGTTGCAGAAAAAATGTCAGTGGTGGAAATAAAATAGGACTTATACAGCTTCTTCATCTTGATCTAAAGATTCCAATGAAATGAGACACTAGCGTCTATGGCAAAGGGTTTAATAATAGAACGAGTTATTACGAGTTATTAGCAATTTCGCAATTTTGATCGCTGTAGGCCGAGTCCTTGTATCTGACCAAGTTTCAAGTCTCTATGCCTTACAGTTTGGCCTGGCCAATCAGTTTAATGACAGAACAACAATAATAATAAAAATTCTTACACATGCGATAAGGTTTCAACGCTTTGCTCTTGAACCCTTTAATACTGTATGTTGAAAACACTGCCTCCATTGACTTATGAGTTGTTCTAGGAGTCTATTTTTGTAATGTTACTGTACATTTAGTCGTGATGCTCACCCCATCCGATCAGGGACAACTTGAACATGTAGTATTTGATGTAAATGTTGAACACTCTTGCCAGAAGAAGGTAGAGGTGCAAGGCTTCAATGGCCATCCAGGTGAAAGAACACAGCAGGCTGTAGTGTATCGTCACAGCAATAAACATGCAGACTTCTTCCACTGTCCATGCAGCGGCCCACTCACTGAACATGAAGCTTATGTTGAGGAGAAACAGAGCGCCGCTTAGAGACACATGAATGCTGCTGGACACTTCTGCTCTTGCGTTCCTGTGAAACACATGCATGCATTTAAAGTTTTTTTTTTCAAATTTTTGCCACCCACTGTACGTGCTTTAATGTAAATCTATATGCATACTTTTGGGATACGTATAAAGAATAATGTGAATTAAAGTGCAGATTATATACACATTTATATGAAAACAAATGGAACAGCACCTGTTGAAAATGAACGACAAGATAGAGGAAGCAGAAAAGACCACAGACAGACTGCAGCCTACGTAGCTGATGTACGACAAGATTTCCCATTGCTGTCTATCAATGTTATTCACCTCAACCTATTCAGAGTGTAGGAGAGATAAAGGGAATGAAGGAGTGAATCAAATTAATATCAACACAGAGTGATTTTTGCTACCTTACACGTTTAGTAATGGCCTGAATAAATGGATCAGTACTTACTAGAAGCACAGCAAAAGGGGTCATGTGGTCACAGGAGCACTCCACAACAGTATCATTGATCTGAGTGGTGTTACAGCCATCTGCTTTCCAGGTGTTTCCTACATATTCCATATTATTAATACATTTTAGTACAAAAAAAAAAAAAAATGGAAGTGACCGCTTTTGTACCCTTTTTTCTGAGAGTGCACACAGAAGAATTTTCAGTGAATAACTTAAATTCCAGTAAGTTTGACATACTGTATATACCATTTTTATGACAGTTTTACAGATTTCTTGTCTTTTTTGGAACTTGTCATACTACTTGGAAAATAACTGCATGAAGATTCTTTTGTATTCCACATAAAAATAACAGCATACAAGTTAAGAACAACATGAGTGTGTGTAAATGACGACAGAGATTTCATTTTTGAGTGAACTATCACTTTAGTTCCCACCCACCTTGTTCATCATAGTATTGACAGGAATATATGTAGCTTTTCTATGAATATCAACACAAAACAGAATGAACAAATTCTTAAAAAATTTGACATTTTGAGAACATTTGAAAAGGTGTGCTTACGTTTGAGTCGTTTTTGTAACTATTCACTGGGAAACGTATTTTAAGTGGATTTGTCAAATTCACAATGTCACGTCCAACAACTTCAATTCGTATGACTTCAGACATTATAGAAGCATTTCTCAGCTGTAAATACACAACCACAGACAAAATGTAGGTTAACATAATAAAGACTGGAAGGGTTAAGAACAGTTTCAATAGATTTATAAAACAGTCAGAACACCAAATGAAAAACTTTACATTAAACTGCTGACTAGAATTGTAAGTAACTATTCCGAATTTCTGCTCAGCCCCATGGACATTTAGGAAAGGTTCCACTGGGATCCATATCTGTACTGTCCGAGTTTTATCATACACCTTAATTAAAATGAAAAGAAATTAATTCAGTAATGCTGCTGTATCATTAACACCCAGAATGCTAAAATATCATTTATTTTACATGACCGTTTTAAACGGTGTCAAAAATTGAAGCTGCAAGCTGTTACATAGTGTCAGTGTCATCTTAAAGAAAGTCTTCATAAAATCTCAATCGTCTTTTGGAGCTTTGAGACAAGAGTCTTACTTTTGGAGCGGTGACTGGTAGCAGACCATTTGTCAGGTTTGAGTTTATCTTAACTACAGAAATAGCAAGATCCTTAAAATAGTAGTCCTTTGATTGCTCCGTTGTTTGTATAATGTTGTGTATGGCTGTTTTCTCTGCACTGCATAATGATGTCATTAACAGGGATACAACCAAATCAACACAAGATTCATACAGTGTATAGATTATTTAGATCTTTAAATAAAAGACTGATGATACCTCAGATGATGATACCAGTTTCCCTCAGTTGTTTGACTTTTCGATTCTGGGCAGGATTTCTTAATTTTTTCAACATAATCACTTATTGGCTTTGTGAAGTAAGCAGGTGGTTGTGTTACAACATACAAGCTTTCAGTTGTGTTACAACAGCCGATGGTGACTCCACGTGCTAGAATTGCTACAAAAATAGATGAGGGAAGAATGACTGTAAGTAATCAGACACTTTCCGTCTGTTTTCCACATTTAGGTCTGCTAGAATTCTTATGGTTTGGTAAAAGATTTGTTATTATTAACCCTTTAATTAATTACTTAATGTTTATTTTAGTTATATTTATTATGTATTTATTTGATGTTCTATTTATTTTAATTTTTCAAAGGAAAAATACAAATGAAAACTGATTACAGTCTTAAAAATAAAGGTGCTTCACGATGCAATAGAAGAACCTTTTTGTCTAAATGGTTCCATAAAGAACCTTCAACATCTGAAGAACCTTTCTGTTTCACAAAAGCTTATTTGGGGTGAAAGAAGGTTCTTCAGATTATAAAAAGCTAAGAAAGAGATGATTCTTTAAAGAACCTTTGACTGAATGGTTCTTTGTGGAACCAAAAATGGTTCTTCTATCGCTTGAAGAACCTTTTGAAGCACCTTTATTTTTAAGAGTGGTATAGCTTGAAATGTACAAAATTAATTTGTGTACGGAACTTACACTACAGTCAAAAGACTGGAATCTTTTTAATGTTTTTGAAAGTATATGTCTCTTTACTTACCAAAGCTGAATTTATTTAATCAGTAAAAACAGCAATATTGTTACATAGTATTACAATTTAAAATGACTGCTTTCTATTTCAATATATTTTAAATATAGAACTTATTCCTGCGCAAAGCAGAATTTTCAGCATTATTACTTCAGTCTTCAGTGTCACATGATACTTTAGAAATCATTCTAATATGCTTTTTCAGGATTCTTTGATGAAAATAAATAAAGAGAGAGAGAGAGAGAGAGAGAGAGAGAGAGAGAGAGCATTTTGCCTGAACAGTTTGAACAGTTCTACAAAGCACTGAACACCACATAGATAAGTGCTACCAAAATTATTATATTATATTATATATATTTTTTCTGGTAGTCCAGCACTAACCGTACTATTCCTCATGAGATCAATCATATGGCCCATGTTAGGCTGAAAATTCCCCTATACCAACACAAAAATAAATTACACGTTAAAATAAATTAAAACAGAAAGTGATCATAAGATCAAAAATAAAAATTTAAAACTTTTGACCAGTAGTATATATGTTTGCAAAATTGTGGATCACGTGCAGACGTTATACAAATAAATTCCATCATGGTGAAGGGGAAAAACGGTATCTGACTACTGTTTCTTATACTAAGATTTAAAGAATGAGGGTTTTAGGAACTTACGAGGGGGTGAGCAGTTGCTGTGTTGTGGATCGGTGTTGCATTCTGAATTTCCTGAACTGCTGTATTTTTGCTGTTGCTCATCTGTGTTTACTTCATCCACTACATGGATCATAATCAGAAGTAGCAGGAGTGTCATATCTCTGGTAGAATATAAATATAAATTTAATGAAATTAAATACAAAAGATACAGATTACAACATATTGACTACACAATATATAATACAAAAGATTTCATATAGCTATAGCTATAATCTGGATGTAGTCTTTCTTACCTTTCTGTTTTTCTAGTCATCAAGGATGAAAATGTGACAGCACTGTGGAAAGTTTGCAATTCACACACTGAGAAATGAAGAGCTAAAGTCAAATTTTGTGGCTTCGTCACGGTGATGGAGGACAATGACAAGCCTTGTCATCACATTTGGTTTTCAGCAATAGAGTTGACATACACATACTGTACACATCTGCATACTAATGGAAAAAGCGCAATGGCCAGCACAAAAGGGTTGACTGGCTAACTGACATGATATAATTAAACAATAAGATATGACCAAACCCTCAGCACTACTGTTTCTAGGTTAAGTGTAATTTACTGCCACTTTCTGATCATATTGTAACAATGTGCTCATTTTGGTAGTTACCTAGCCAGTTGGCATTATTTTGCATCATTATAAACATTCAAGTCTTTATCTCAGATAAACAAAACAGAAAAAATAAAACCTTATACTTACAAAAGGTACTATGGTATTATCATGATACTTTCTTGAAGTACCACGAAATGCTAAAAAAAACTCTATAAAAAGATTTAAAAAAAAGATTTTAACCATGCAATTCTAAACAACATTTTATTTCTCTACAAAAAGATAAAAAAGATGCCAACTTCCTTTCAAAGACTTGATTTGAATAAACAAGGTCACTGATGGTAAAAGCAAGATTATAATTTGACTCACTGTGGAAAACCTTGATAGCACAGCTTTGGAAACTAACAAACAAACATGTAAATAAATACTAGAGAACATTTAACAAAGCATTTAACTTATTTAGAACATGTAGACAATTTTATTTCTATTTTTATTTTATAGCAATGAACTGTGTTTAACCACTATGTTTTGTGTTACATAAAATAAATGTGGTATTTTACAATACTCCAGCCAGGACAGGAATTATTATTAATAATTATCACTGCTGCACAAAATAAGCAGTGTCTTTATTTTTTAAATAACTTACTTACATGATATTCATGCCATTTATAATCATCATTATGGTATCAAAAAACCAAAAATAATTACAATGGGTTTTATCTCTGTGCGTTATCATAACCAAAACAGGATGCTCCATTATTAACACAATATGAAACTACTCATGTGATATTTTTTGACATTTCATGTAAACAAGACAAGCACCAACTCATAGCTCACTTTCTCGACATCCAGAGCTGGTTTGGCCCTCTACATCTTGATTTAGTACAGTGTAGGTAGCACTTTATTCAAATGTGAATAAATTAAAACTAAAATACATTTAAAAATGTAAGTTAACTGCAATAAAATGGTCACTGTAATATTTGTAAACTAAATTGTAACTTATTTTTTTCATTGATTTATTTAGCATTTAAACAAGATATATTATCACTGTTCTTCAACTTGAAAGCACCGGCATTTCCTTCAGTAACGTCTAAATCTAGTGAAAACAGTTAGTTCACTTGTTTTCTCCAATATTACATGAAGTAGCCTAATTTTGAGTAATAGGCATCTGATAGAACACAAGGTTAAACTAAATTATATTTCAGTGTAACTTCTGCTCAAGAGAAATTTAATAACAACTTTGATGTTTTTGTCAGTGTCTACCCATTAACAGTTTTATCTCATCTAGAATGTGTGGGTCTGTGTGTGTCTAGAGCAGGGATGGGCAACTTTCATAGTGACGAGGGCCAGCATTTCTTCTCCTTTATACCAAGGGGCCAGATTACTAATCCACATCCACACACCTTTTACACCGTTTTACTCAATTTCCTTTTTATTGAAGGAAATGGAAGTATAACTAATGTCATTTGTTTTTGATTTGATTAAGTATAAAACTTCAGAAGGGAAACTTTGTTGTCAGCGGACAGAAATATTACCCCAACAAGCCAATGTAAACCTCTCGATTGCATTGTCTGTAAATTTACAAAAAATATACAGAGGTCCTTTTTTTATCAGTAGCCTACAGAACATTCTCAAGACAACCTAAAAGTATAGTTAAAAAGGGCTTAATTAAAAAAAAAAGAAAAAAAAAGTTATTCCAAATGATACCATAAAATAACCTGGTATCTGCAGGATTTTTTAAATCAAATTTAAGACCTTTAAAGACTTTTTTAAGATCTGCACTTCACATTTCAGCCTTTAAACAATTTTTAAGAGTCAAAAGTATCAATTATTATATGAATTTAAACAATTATTATCAATTAATTATTATATTAAATAACATATAAATATATCTTAGTGTCTTAATTGTTTAGATTTTTATAATGCATTAGCTTTTTGTCGATCCATTGGTTCACATTTGAAAAATATGTAGCAAAAATAGCAGATGGGCTTATTGAAAAAGCAAATTCGTTCTCTGCCAGCAGGTGTCACTTTCGGAACGGCAGAAATACAGTGGCTTCCCCGTTAACCGCAGTACACAAAGCTGACTGCAGCGCTCAAGTTTATTCAGTGAAATCGTAGCCTTTTGAAGTTTAATCGTCATATTAATCCATATAGCATTTCTTGTCTTTCCGTCCCCTCTTATAATTGACACTTTTTGTACCATTTAAGAGTTTGCATGGCCTTAAATGTCAACAATTTAACTGAAGACGTTTTAAGGACCCACGGAAACCCTAATAAAAACATAGTCCAGTGCAAACATTTCTGTCATGCAATTGGCAAAAAGCTTTTGTTGACTATTAATTTTACCTTTGAAATTTGAGGCAAGTGCAACTCTGGCGTCCCCGTTGTTTGTGAGCAGTGGTGTGATGGCGATTTATATAAAATACAGATTTCCAAACAATCCAAACATATGGGTATCTCCTTGAACTTGGTAAAAAGATAATCTGTTTACCATCTTGACTGGAAAATACTGTTTTCATGGTCAGTTTTTCGTTTATTATTTGTTATGTTAGTGGATGTTTATATTAGAGTGCACGTCCTACTACGCTGAAATTAATAGGGGAGCGGCTGGAAGCTAGTGACCTCTCCTGGTTGGAGATATTATTAACATCATAAACGGAAAGCAATCTTTACGTGACTTGCTTTTCAAATGTTTTAAAATGGATCATCCAAGTCTAATCCAAGTCCAAGACACTGCGGGCCGTATATGACCCACGGGCCGCCAGTTGCCCATCCCTGCTCTAGATGTTCTTTAGGCAGGTCTAACTGCTCTACTTCTGTGTGTGTTTGAATACAGGGATTTGAACAGAGCCTTCATTTGTTTGCGTTGATGTATGTTAGAAAGCACTCTAATTTGACAGCTCTAGACACTCTACTGCTCTCAGCACACAGTCAATTACACTCTTATCTCCGACATTCACTGCAGTCCTTTAATACAGCTGTCTAAAACACAAGACAGTTCAAATAGACTAAGCTTTTTAGAGGTAGGAGCGAACACAAGACAGACGCCCTGGTAATGACAAGTACAGGAGTCTCAAGAATGCAGACTGTGATTGATTTAAGTGTACAAACTTGACACAAATATATGTAAATGATTCAACAGTTAAAAGGCTACATTTAAAAGGAAGATTTCATGTGAATCAGATGTTAAGCTTTTTTGTTTTCATTAGCTTTGTACAGAATTAGTTTCTTGTACTTCTTCAAAGTTAATATTAAGTCTACAGTTTGTATTAAGCTGGTGTCATTAAAATATCCAAAAATTAAAATGGTTTAAAAAATATATACAGAGCACTCTGTACTGTAGCAATTGTTATTTTGACTACAGAAGCAGAGTACTACTAAAAAAAAAACCTGTCTTTTATTATATTTGTTTAGTGCACTTCACATTTCAGCCTTTAAACAATTTTTAAGAGTCAAAAGTATCAATTATTATATGAATTTAAACAATTATTATCAATTAATTATTATATTAAATAACATATAAATATATCTTAGTGTCTTAATTGTTTAGATTTTTATAATGCATTAGCTTTTTGTCGATCCATTGGTTCACATTTGAAAAATATGTAGCAAAAATAGCAGATGGGCTTATTGAAAAAGCAAATTCGTTCTCTGCCAGCAGGTGTCACTTTCGGAACGGCAGAAATACAGTGGCTTCCCCGTTAACCGCAGTACACACAAAGCTGACGTGCAGCGCTCAAGTTTATTCAGTGAAATCGTAGCCTTTTGAAGTTTAATCGTCATATTAATCCATATAGCATTTCTTGTCTTTCCGTCCCCTCTTATAATTGACACTTTTTGTACCATTTAAGAGTTTGCATGGCCTTAAATGTCAACAATTTAACTGAAGACGTTTTAAGGACCCACGGAAACCCTAATAAAAACATAGTCCAGTGCAAACATTTCTGTCATGCAATTGGCAAAAAGCTTTTGTTGACTATTAATTTTACCTTTGAAATTTGAGGCAAGTGCAACTCTGGCGTCCCCGTTGTTTGTGAGCAGTGGTGTGATGGCGATTTATATAAAATACAGATTTCCAAACAATCCAAACATATGGGTATCTCCTTGAACTTGGTAAAAAGATAATCTGTTTACCATCTTGACTGGAAAATACTGTTTTCATGGTCAGTTT